TTTGGAGTATAATGAGATATTCTGTGTGCTAGTAATAACACCTAAAAACGATTTTTTTTTTCAATTTTATTATATAATAATGTTATATGTTCAAGTGAAACTTCAAAGTTAGAGTTTTGAAGTTTTTCTTTTTTCATGTTTGGATGTTTAAGAATGAACTACTTTTTATTATTTAGTGAAGGTTATATTTGAAACCCTTTTTACTTATAATTAATAATATATGTAAACTTGCAATCAATGAGTGCTAAAATTTGTTTGGATTGTTCTTTTTTCATAAAACTATCTTGAGGAGAGGTCCTTTTACAAATTTTGCACAGGGCCTCCGACTTCTCAAAGATGGCCATGTATCAGTGATATTAGTTGAACTTGCTAGGCCTAAATAAAGAAAGTAGAGGTCCCACCATAAAACCAATTGACAATATGGAAAGTTGTCTAACCTTTTATAAGCCCATGCAAGGTTTCTTCTTTCACCAATGTGGAATTATTCTCAACAAGCCCCTTCATGTGTGGCGAATGTTCAAGCGTAACACGTAGACAACACAACGAGGTGACGTGGAACGCGTGTGGCCTTTTGGCTTCACACACAGGAAAATCACTCTGAGTACTATGAAGAAAGTTGGGGTTCCATCATAAAACCAATTAACAATATGAAGAGTAGCCCAACATCTTATAAGCTCATGCAAACTTTCTCATTTCACCAATGTAGAATTCATTCTCAACACTACAAAGTTTATCATGCTGCCCATACTTTACTTAACCTTCTGCAACTTTTGTGGTGCTTTCACAGATTCCAGGTATTACGCTAGCTAGAGACTATCAACCTTTGCTAACAAAAATGTGTTCATGTTGGGAAAAAAAGCTTGAATCATTGATTCAGGTAACAGTTGCATTTTCCAGTGGTCCGACGGATGAGCTTGCGTCGAGCGCAACACTATAGCTGGAAGAACTGAAGACCAGATGATGCACTCCAATGTTTCATAGCAGTCTTCAATCGTTTTTCTTTTTTTTTTTTTCTTTTTTTTTAAATTTCTTTTTAAATTAAATAAAAAAGGAGAACGTGAGTAGATTAATAACCATCTAGCAAAGTTCTAAATATTGTTTATAGCTTAAGCCTTCATAATCTGGTTCATAATAATATAGCGTGCTTTGCACTTAGCCTCCAATGGCACGACTTTAGGCATTATGAATCCCTTACCTTCAGCCATATCAATCTCCTTTTCACTAACTCTCTTCCACTCAAAGCATTGGATCAATGACCCCAAAGTCAGCCCCACCATACGTTTCGCTAGACCCTCCCCAGGGCAAGTCCTTCTTGTAGAAAAAGATAATTTTATTGATAAGCTTAACTGATAGTACACAAGAATATATATAGCCACAGATGCTTATTACATCAGTACCCTTATCTTCTACAACTAATTACACAAATACCACAATTAACTATTTACTGTTGTAACTAACTTGTGACTGGTTTAGATCTCTCAATACACCCCCTCAAGCTGAGCTTGGGATCAACTGAGGAACCAAGAGGAAGCTTGGATTTAAGATAGCTGAATCTACTTATGGAAAGACATTTGGTGTGAATGTCGGCTAACTAATCCTGACTGCAAACAAAGTTAACCTTGATGAGATGAGCCAAGACCAACTCTCAAATACAATGATAGTCGATCTCTACATGTTTGGTGCGGGCATGAAATACCAAATTAGAAGCAAGGGAGTTTGCTGAAATATTATCACACCAGAGGGTAGGAACTTGAGAAAGAGGGAAACTAATGTCACGGAAGATTTTGCATATCCAAGTTAGTTTAGCTACAGTGTGTACGAGAGAACGGTATTTTGCTTCTGTTGATGATCGTGCCACAATAGCTTGTTTCTTGGCACTCTAACTGATAAGGTTGGATCCCAGAAATACATTGTAACCACTAGTGGAATGTCTATCAAAGGGACAGCCAACCCAGTTTACATCGGAGAAGGTTTTGAGATTAGTTGCACCCTTTTTGAACCATAGTTCTTCAGACACAGTACCCTTGAGATAACGAATAACTCGTTTTGCAACTTGAACTGACAAATTTGATTCACAGCAAAAGAAATATCTGGATGCATCCATGTCAAATACTGTAAACCACCTACAATGGATCGGTACTCAATTGGATTGGACAAAAGAGGACCAGTGTGATCCAATTTATGAGAGCCAAGTGGAGTGCAGCAAGGCTTTGCATCATCCATATTAGTTTTCCTGAGAAGATCCAGTAAATACTTGGCTTGATGAAGAAAGAGACTTATGGAGGATCGTTGAACCTCTAATCCCAGAAAGTAGTGCAATGGACCCAAATCCTTGACTAGAAAAATAGCACTGAGTTTTTGAATGAATAGATGGCATAGGGAAGAGTCAGGTCCAGTGACTAATATGTCATCTACATACATAAGCACCATGACAGGAGTAATACTGTTGAGAACAAATAAAGAAGCATCTGAGGAAGATTGCTTAAAACCAAGCTGAAGAAGAGCTTAAAATAGTTTGTCAAACCAAGCTCGAGGTGTTTGTTTGAGACCATAAAGGGATTTCCTTAATTTGCAGACATGATGTGGCATACTGAGATCAGTGAAACCTGGAGGCTGCTACATGTACACATCTTCCTTTAAATCACCATGAAGAAAGGCATTACTTATGTCTAATTGATTTAAAAACCAATTGAAATGCACAGCAAGTTACAAAATGACTCTAATCGTAACTGGTTTAGCCACAGGACTGGAGGTCTCTTGAAAATCAATGTCTTCCTACTGATGATACCCTTTTGCAACCAAACGAGCTTTAAATCGCTCGACAGTACCATCAGGTTTCTTCTTTATTCTGAAGACCCACTTGCAGCCAACAACATTGTGAGAGGAAGATTGAGGAACAAGGGTCCAAGTACCTGTTGATTGTAATGCATTGAACTCATCTTGCATGACAGATCTCCAATGAGCATGTTTAGACGCTTGCAAATATGTATTTGGAATAAAGTCAATATCATATGTTTGGTAGCTGCATATACTTTGGGCTTGAAGATACCAGTTTTGGAGGGAGTGATCATAGGATGAGTATTGGTAGGGGCAGTTAGATAATTGGTGCATTGGAAGAAAGTGATGCATCGTGTGGAGATTCTGTATGTGAGGTAGCATTTGTAGAAATGGGACCTTGAGTATTGCCATGTGTGAACTTGAAGGAGAACAATCAAAGTTGAATATCAAATTTGGAACTGAAGAGCTAGAAGGAACACCAGTGCCATTAAAAACGGAGAACTGCAGATCCATGAAAGCTGAAACAGATTTTGAAGAGATAACATGACTGGGGGGAGAAGACTGAAAAAGATATGTTGCTTCATCAAACTGCACATGTCTGGAAATATAGATACGACTAGTGATTAGGTCAAGGCATCGATAACCCTTGGGTTGTAAACTATACCCCAGAAAAACACAGCTTTTACTTTTTGCGTCCAACTTGGAATGAGTGTAAGGTTTGAGCCATGGGAAGCATCTACAGCTAAAGACTTTAAGTCGGGAGTAATCTGGTGTCTTGAAAAATAGCAATTCCCAAGGAGATTTAGAGAGTCCAGAGATGGGTAATCTGTTAATAAGATACACAGTCGTGGACAAAGCTTCCACCCAATGGAGATGGGGAATATTAGAAGCTACAAGTAATGTTCTGGTAGTTTCCACAATGTGTCTGTGCTTTCTTTCAGCATAGGCATTTTGTTTAGGGGTGTGAGGACAAGTTAAATGATGAGCAATACCATGAGTATGAAGAAAATATTGAAACATAGCACTAATGAATTCACCCCCGGAATCTGAATGCACAACCTTGATTTTATTTCCCAGTAAATTTTCCACATATTGTTTGAATACAACAAAAGTAGAATAGGCATCATATTTAGCTTTTAATGGAAATAACCAACTATGGCGACTATAATCATCTACTAGCAACAAGTAGTACTTAAAACCACTAGGTGAAGTGACGGAGGTAGGACCCCAAAGATCACAGTGTAACAATTTGAGGCTTTGAGTAGTTGTAGAACTAGCATATCCAAAAGAAAGCTTGTGACTTTTAGCTAAAGCACAATCTAAATAGAAAATATCACTAGTAGTTTTGCCTTGCACCACAAGCTGATTTCATGAAAGAACCTTGCGAAAGATAAAAAAAGATGGATGACTCAATCTTCGATGCCAAATCTGTACAGGAGCTTTGACATTTATTAAAGCCGAGGGTGATGAAGAAGTGTGATTACTAGAGCCTTGAAGAGGATAGAAGCCATCTTTAACTGGTCCCCGCAAAAGCATCTTCCCCGAAACACGATCCTTTACAGTGGATCCATCAGGGTCGAGAGTCAAGGCACAATTATTATCTTTTAAAAATTGGTAGGCAAATAATAAGTTGTGTTTCATGGTATGGACATGTAATACATTACTCAACTTAAATGAAGTATGAGATGTATTTAATGAAGAGGTACCAATATTATGAATAGACAGACCTTTACCATCTCCTATATAGACCTTGTCTTCACCAGTGTAGTGTAGAGAGAGGGGACAGAGAGATTGGCAATGTCATTTGTGATATGTGATGTGGCTATAGAGTCCAATAGCCAAGATGGGGATGGTTTGGACGAGTAGTGAACATAAAGAGCTGCAAGTTTGGCTGGTAGCACTCGTCCAAAGATCTCATGATTCATTCTGTCAAAATAGTCAATGGCTTCGTGGCTGGTGAAGCCATAAATTTAACATGTGTTCTTGTGATGAGATGAAGAACCTTGGTTGTTAGACCGGGAGCCTGAATAAGAAGCACAAGACTGACCTTCATGATAAGTACCGGTGAAGTGTCCACGATTAGTGCGGAAATTGCGATTTCCTCTGGAAGAATTGTGATTGGTCATGCCTCGATTAGAATTGTAACGGAAAAAAGATTGAAGAGGCTGACTATATGCAGCAAAAGCCTGTGGAGAAGGCATGGGCGGCAAAGGTGCTTGAGATTAGACAGAGAGGGCCTGAAAAGGCTCAGTAGCAGCAATGGACAGAGTTTGCTTGCGACGAGCCATGGAGATCTCTTTTGTCAGCAACAGACCATGCAATTCATCAAGAGAGGTAGAAGACAATCGCAGCATGATAGAGTTCATAAATGACTCGAATTCATCAGGAATACCATGAAATGTTGCTGCAATGAGATCACGATCAGATATAGATGCACCAGCAGCATTGAGAGAATCTGAAATTTCCTTGATTTGTTGTAGATATCCCGAGATCAATTAAGAACCTTTTTGAATTGATTGAAGATGAGAGCGAAGTTGGTGGATATGAGCATCAGAAATGCCACCAAAACGTTGTTTAAGCTTCTGCCAGAGCTCTCGAGATGTGGAAACACCTACTGTGAAGGGAATGAGATTTTCAGATAGGGTCGAGTTGAGCCATATCCAAGAGATTTTGATCTTTTTCAAACCACTGCTTAAATTCTGGATTTAGGGATCGATCAGGGAGAAGTGAAGCCGGACATAGCTCAGTACCGTCGATGAGGCCAAGAAGTTTGTACCGGCATAAAATTGGAGCAAATAACGCACGCATGGGAGATAATTGGTGCGTTTGAGTTTGATTGGCACCATGCTACCACTATTTTGGATCGTAAGAGACATATACGAGTTCTGATGTTGAGAATTTGCAGAAGAATTAGGCCTCGTTTGGCAGTTCGGACTGTACTGACTATTTCTGTCGGATAGGATAAATAGCCATCGGATAGTACTGACTAAATTAGTCGGGTGTTTGGTGCAGTATCGGACTAGTGACCGTATTATTTATACTGTGTTTGATATTATACTAGATAGGAAGCATCAAACTTTAAAAAAAAAAAATTTTTAAAAAATGAAATCATTTTTTTGTTCCCAGGTCTCTCCGCACCCCTCAAACACCCCCCCTCTCTCTCCCTTCTTCTTCCCCGACGATAGAAGAATCCCAAATAATTGTTCCCCAGCTCTCTCCGCCACACCCCCCAAACTCCCTCCCTTTCTCTCCCATATTCTTCTTCCCCGACTAAATAATCCGGACGTTTTGGTTGGTTTTATTAAGCAGGTGTATACCGTATTATCCTATCCGACCGGTTAAATTAATCCGGTGCTTATTTAGTACGAGTGAACGCCAAACACCCGGGTCCGTATAACTAATCCTATCCGATCCTTTATCCGATCTGCCAAACAGGGCCTTAGGGTTTGGTAATGGCGGTGAGTTAATCAAAGACAAAGAGGCAGAGAAGAAGGCCATGATATTCAGAAGCAAAATCGATCAAGGAATCAATCAAAGACAGAGAGCACAAAATTGATTACGAAATCGATCAAGAAATCAATCGAGAAAGAAGGAAATCGATCAAGAAATGAAGGCGGTGAGAAGAAGATAATCAAGATATCACCGACTCAAAGACGCCATTACAGATCAAGAACAGTGATCAGAATACCAAATCAATGAAGAACTTCGATCAATTTGAAAAGAAATCAAATAAACTGAGCAGAAGAAATGGAGGATCGAGGAATGCCGGGAGGCAGTTGGCGATGAAACCATGTAGAAAAAGATATTTTTATTGATAAGGTTAACTGACAGTACACAGGAATATATATAGACACAGACGCTCATTACATCAATACCCTTATCTTCTACAACTAATTACACAAATACCACAATTAACTATTTACTGTTATAACTAACTTGTGACTGGTTTAGATCTCTCAATACTTCTTCCCAGTCTGAACAGCATCAGGTCGTGTGACAAGTCCTCACCACTCTTAAATCTCTCGGGTTTAAAGCTTGCAGGATCATCCCACAACATTGGGTCTTTATGGATGGCCCATGCATTGATCAATACCATTGTGTCACGTGGCACGTTTAATCTTTCAATCATGCAGTCATCTGATGAAAAATGTGGCAGTAGCAATAGAGCTGCGGGGTATAATCGGAGGGTCTCGGAGATGATACTTTGCAGATAGGGTAGTTTAGAGATATCCGGTTCGTCCACCAAGTGTTCATTTCCAAGTTGAGCATCAAGTTCAGCTCTAGCTTTCTTTAACATAAGGGGATGGTTGAGGAGATTGGATATGGCCCATTCTAGTGTCACTGCTGATGTATCAATACCCGCCGTTATTATGACCTAAAAATTACTTTTCAGTTAATATTATGAATTGTAAAGAAATAAGACTTGTCTTCTTTAATTTCTAAAACACTAAACCCAGCTGTTGTAAGTTATGATGGGTGGAAAAATGTAGGCGATTGCTTGTTTGAGAGGGGATTCGCACAGCTTGGATATGCAATTCATGATTGATTAGTTGTTATCTATCTACATCAAACGAACTATTATTTTCAAACCAACCAAGTGCTTTATATCAAATGTGTCACCCATTATATTACCAGTCAAAACCAACTACCTACTTATCTTTAATTCACTTATATTATTGTGACTTCAGATACTCAAATCGGATATGTAAGATATCTTGAAATGGAATGTAATTTTATGTTTTTGGTTGGCCGGAAAACAATTCAATAGAGAGATGTAAATGTAATATATTCATCTTGCCCCAAAAATGTAAATATAAACCTAAATTTACATCTTTTTTGCATCTTTTGGTGTTGGGTCTCACCAATCAAAGTGAAAACGGATCTTAAATTTACATTTCTGCATTGGAGATGCTCAAAGAATTCTAGAAATTGTATTTCTGAAGGCCATTGGCAGGTGTTTGTGAAAAAGAAAAGTATATGTAATCCAATACATACTTAAAAAATCAGGAATTAAATCAAGCAAAGTGCTATTTACACACCTTTTTTTTACTTCTTACACACTTTTGTTGATTTTTAGCTATTGATCTTTTTCAATTCATTCAATCCCAGACTGAAATTGAGAGAGGTGTGTGAGAAGTAAAAATAAATATGTGAATAACACTACTCCAAATCAATTGGAGGCTAGTGGATCTCATGCTCATTGATTCTATTTTACAAGTCAGAAATCAAATCAATTATAGCGTGGATCTCATCCTCGTTCCTTTTGTTTTTCTATCTTTGATTCATGACTCTCATTTCATACCTTACTATGTGATCATTCAGTTGGTAAGATATAATTGAGAAATAAATATAGACTAAAACTTCACGATAAAAAAATAATAGAAAACTAGATTTTAATCCTTAAATAAGATGCAATTTAGAAGAATGTCTTATACAAGATTAAAAATTGATTTTAGTCCCTGGATTTTATTTAATGCCAACATATTAAATGTCTCTCTTTTTTATTTATAATTTTATGGTGTTCATAAATTAAATTTTATGAAAATATTATAAACAATATTATAATATTGTTTATAGATCAAGCCGTCATAATCTGGTTCACAATATCAGAGCGTGCTTTGCACTTAGCCTCCAATGGCACGGCTTTAGGCATTGTGAATCCTTTACCTTCAGCCATATCAATCTCCTTTTCACTTACTCTCTTCCACTCAAAGCATTGGATCAATGACCCCAAAGTCAGCCCCACCACACGTTTCGCTAGGCCCTCCCCAGGGCAAGCCCTTCTTCCCAGTCCGAACGACATCAAGTTGTGTGACAAGTCCTCACCACTCTTAAATCTCTCGGGTTTGAAGCTTGTAGGATCATCCCACAACATTGGGTCTCTATGGATGGCCCATGCATTGATCAATACCATTGTGTCACGTGGCACGTCGAATCTCTCAATGATGCAGTCATCTGATGAAAAATGTGGTAGTAGCAATGGAGCTGCGGGGTATAATCGGAGGGTCTCGGAGATGATACTTTGCAGATAGGGTAGTTTAGAGATATCCGGTTCGTCCACCAAGCGTTCATTTCCAAGTTGAGCATCAAGTTCAGCTCTAGCTTTCTTTAACACGAGGGGATGGTTGAGGAGACTGGACATGGCCCATTCTAGTGTCACTGCTGATGTATCAGTACCCGCCATTATTATGACCTAAAAATTACTTTTGAGTTAAATTATGAATTGTAAAGAAATAAAACTTGTCTTCTTTAATTTCTAAAACACTAAACCTAGCTGTTGTAAGTTATGATGGGTGGAAAATGTAGGCGATTGCTTGTTTGAGAGGGGATTCCCACACAGCTTGGATATGCAATTCATGATTGATTAGTTGTTATCTATCCACATCAAATGAACTATTATTTTCAAACCAACCAAGTGCTTTATATCAAATGTGTCACCCATTATATTACCAGTCAAAACCAACTACCTACTTATCTTTTATTCCCTTATATTATTGTGACTTCAGATACTCAAATCGGATATGTAAGATATCTTGAAATGGAATGTAATTTTATGGTTTTGGTTGGTCGGAAAACAATTCAATAGAGAGATGTAAATGTAATATATTCATCTTGCCCCAAAAATGTAAATATAAACCTAAATTTACATCTTTTTTGCATCTTTTGGTGTTGGGTCTCGCCAATCAAAGTGAAAACGTATCTTAAATTTACATTTCTGCATTGGAGATGCTCAAAGAATTCCAGAAATTGTATTTCTGAAGGTCATTGGCAGGTGTTTGTAAAAAAGAAAAGTATATGTAATCCAATACATACTTAAAAAATCAGGAATTAAATCAAGGAAAGTGCTATTTACACACATTTTTTTTTACTTCTTACACACTTTTGTTGATTTTTAGCTATTGATCTTTTTCAATTCATTCAATCCTAGACTGAAATTGAGAGAAGTGTGTGAGAAGTAAAAATAAATGTGTGAATAACACTACTCCAAATCAATTGGCGGCTAGTGGATCTCATGCTCATTGATTCTATTTTACAAGTCAGAAATCAAATCAATTATAGCGTGGATCTCATCCTCGTTCCTTTTGTTTTTCTATCTTTGATTCATGACTCTCATTTCATACCTTACTATGTGATCATTCAGTTGGTAAGATATAATTGAGAAATAAATATAGACTAAAACTTCACGATAAAAAAATAATAGAAAACTAGATTTTAATCCTTAAATAAGATGCAATTTAGAAGAATGTCTTATACAAGATTAAAAATTGATTTTAGTCCCTGGATTTTATTTAATGCCAACATATTAAATGTCTCTCTTTTTTATTTATAATTTTATGGTGTTTATAAATTAAATTTTATGAAAATATTATAAAATTTTAATTTTCATTATGGTAAGTATCTTATATAAGAAAATATTTTCGTAAAGATTTTTCGGTACACATGTTTTTGCATATTTTTTTATGTGTCACTAATTCATTCAATATATTTAGGTACGAACATTTCGATACAATAGGTTAATATAATATGTTTAGGTATGGACATTTCGCTACACTAGTTTATTATAATATATTTAGGTACCGACATTTCGGTACACTAGTTTAATATCATATATTTAGGTACGGAATTTTTCGGTACACTTATGTTTTTGCATATTTTCTTATGTGCCACTAATTCACTATAATATATTTAGATACAGACATTTCGGTATACTAATTTAGTAAAATATATTATGATACGGACGTTTAGGTACACTAATTAGAGGAAGTAAAATAAATATAATGAATTAAAATGTGTATAATAATAAATAATTTTAATTTTAATATAATGACATTAAATAAGATCTCTATTAAATGTTAAAACAAAAATATAATATAAATTTGAATTAGGTACACATTAGAGAAATAAAATCAATATACAATCTAACACCAAGTTTTTATTGAATTTTAATCTTCTTCAAGGATTAAAGTTCAAAAACCATAAAAATTAATATATGAGACGGCCAGTAAACACTAACCTGTATAATCCCCTTGATAATTTGGTCAGTGTAATACTCAGGTTGTGATCCCTGCAGAGTAAGCAAATGGTCAATCATAGTACCAGTAGTTCCACCCTTCTTGCTCCTGTGCTCATCGATGAGGCCTTGGAAAAACTTATTGGTCCTCTTGCCCAACTTCATGACCCTCTTCTCATACGCGTCGCTCCCAACCCAATTCAAAATCGGCAAAAAATCTGCCGGGTTGGCCGCTCCACTTTGAGCAAAAGCCTCCTTCATAATCTCTCTGAACTGCCTCGCCTCCTCTTTCTCCACCGACACATCCTCGCCGTAGTACCTCTTCCCCGCCACCATCCTCATTATAGTGTTAAAGGTCAACTCATGGAACATAGACGTCAACGCCACCGGTGCGAAATCTTCACGTGCGTTTTGTGAAAGTTTAAGTAGTAGCTGTTTGATTTCGTCCTTTCTGATGTTCGAAAATGTGTTCAGTCGAGCGGTGGAGAATATCTCGATGGCGCTAATGCGGCGGAGGTTGCGCCAGTGATCACCGTATTGGGACGTTGCCATGGTGGTGTTGTTGTAGGCTAAGTGCTTGCCTAGGATAAAGCTAGGACGGTTTGCTAGAACGATGTCGTTGGTGGTGAAACATTCTTGTGCGGCCGACGAGGATGAGACTATGACCACGCGCTGCGAGCCAAACCAGAGTGAGAAAATGGGGCCGTGCTTTTGTGAGAGGCGGTGGAGGGTTCGATGGATTGGGAGTTTTAGGAGATGAAGATGGCCGATTAGTGGAAGAGAAAGTGGACTTGGAGGGAGGGTTTTGTAACGGCGTCGTTTTGTTTGGAGCAGGAAGTTGAAAGTGAAGAGGATGGAGATAATGGAGAGGAATGTATATAACAAGATCTGTTGTTCCATAGTTAGCTTGTGGAGTTGAGATGGATGTGATCAGTGGGTGGTTTACAGTGTGGTGGAGATGTGGTACTTATAGAGGAGGTGTGCGATAGTAGTGATCCATGCTAAGTTTTTTTAGCAGTTTAGATCTCAATGTTCAAGTACCGTTTGTTTTCTAGAGATCATTTCTATTTGAATAAACAAAAAAAACTTAGAATTTGAATAAAAGTTAAAATTTAGAAATTGACATGCATGAGTTAACTTGTTTGCATTCATAAATATAGAATTTAAAATTTCTTCGTGGGAAAAAAGCTTGGAATTTGGAACCTCCAATTCCCAAGTTAAATTCCACGTAAATAGGTGACGAAATTTCAAAATGACAGAATTTGAAATGACGGGATTTTTTTTTCTAGAATTTGTGAAATTTCTTGTTTGGTTAACTTAAAAGAACAATAGAATTGAATACAGAATTTTTTATTTTTAAACTCTCAATCATAGAAATTGAGAAATGACACATCTTTACATGAAATTTAAACCTGGGAATTGGAGGTCCCAAAATCCAAGTTTTTTTCATGCAAAAATTCTAAATTTCTATGGTTATGAATCCAAATAAAAGAATTGGTGCATGTCAATTTATAAATTCTAACTTTTATCCAAATTCCAAGTTTAATTCTCTCATCCAAACATAGTGTAGTGTTCATATTAGTTGGAGAGCAAATTTATCTTTCTCTTATCTTATACTATCATCTTTACTAATTAATAAAACTCTCTTTGTCAATCAAAAGAGGGTGATAAGACAAATTAGTCTTCTATCACATAAAAAAATGATGAGCAATAATGTAATTTCACAGGTCCAAATTTTACTGTTTTTTATTAAAGCCTTACGTACAAGTGATGTTAAAATACTTCCAATATTAAAAAAAATAATAAATAAATAAATAAACCAAAAACAAAAACCTCCCACTCCCCCTTGTCCTCTTTTTCTCTCTCCCTCTTTCCTTCTCATTTTCTAATAAAACCCTCATTGTAAACTTTTTGCCCTTTTTCCTATTTTGCCCTCACTTTTGATACACAATAAGTGAACCCTCCTTGTCAACCTTTTGCCCTTTTTTCCTATTTTGCCCTTACTTTTGATATACAATATTCACATAAGAAGGGCAAAATAGTAATTTTGTATCTTTTGATAAAATGACAATCATATCCCTAATTTTCCTATTTTACTCTCACTTTTAATACACAATATTTACGTAAGGAGAACAAAACAATAATTATGTTATATTAAAATAAAATATGCACTTACTATTTTTTCTATTTTACCCTCACTTTTGATACACAATATTTACATACGGAGGACAAAACAGTAATTATGTAATATTAAGATAAAATATGCACTTATTAAGAGAAATTGTCCCACCATCATTATTTCATACTCTTTTTAAAAATTTTAAAACTAATCACACTCCTTAATAAAAAAATAAAAACGAAATGAAATTGTTCACACACACAAAGTGTATGCTCATATGCTAGTTTTTATTAGTAAAAGACACAAGACATGAAAAATATCAATCACATAATTCCTCAAGCCCATTTTTTCTCTCTCTTCTCTCTGCCTATTTTCCACTCGTCTCTATCTAGATTTATGTCACAACTGACTTTACATTGTGTATGTTGGACATTGACATTTTGGACTTGAGTGTACATATAAGTGAATGACTTTTCAAGGTGATTGTCACACTGCGTGCTTAATTCAAATAATATATGTACATTTATTGGTGTATTTGTTCAGATTGCACGTTTCAAAATACTATTGGTTTGGATTATACAATCAAGATAATTCTCTTTATTTTAACTTTAAATAGAAAGATGAAAATTCAATGAGCAAGAGAATGATATATCAATAATTAGTACGTTTGAGGTCCTAAATTTGCCTCTCATATATGACAAAGTTGATATCACTTCAAGGCAAACTTATTGTTTGATTTAGCTCAATATTTTACTCTTTATTTGAAATTTTATTGTATAAAAAATAAAAATAAGGATATATTCATACTTCGTTGCATATGTTTGTGACTTGAGAGTCAGTCCGACCAGCCCCTTACACAAACGAGTTCGTGAGCATATAACGTCTTAATCTAATAATACAATAATACGTTGAAATTACCCAAATTATTAGTTTATTAAAATAAAATGTCACAATCGTTCCAAAAATTTCTCCCAATTTAAAATGTGGGTGTGTCGTGTATCGTCTTTCCCTTTCATCGTCGACTTGTAGCGGTGCATAGGTCAGTGAATGCGTAAGCGCACTGTCCACATGCACTGGGTACAAATGGAACAAAAGCAAAGTAAGGCCCCACTCGCTCTACCTAAGGGACAAAGGAACTTGCCAAAAACAAATTATATTCATCTTCAAACTAAAATAAACACAGTCGTCACTCAGTACTATAATTTGGTAATATTCTTCTTCGCTTAGAAGTGAGAGGTCTTAGGTTCATATCTTGTGGATGATGAATTAAATACCAAATTAGACTGCTCATTACGTAGCTTAACTGAATTCCCTCTTCTTCTAGTGTAAAACTAAAACAACCACAGGCAGACGGAAGATTCGAACTCGAAATCTCAAGTATAAAGCATATATGTATTTTTCATGTACCATACTCAGTACTATTTTTTCTAATTTAGTTACCAAAAAATATACATATATGTATTTTTCATGTATCATACTCGTACTATTTTTTTTTACCAAAAATATAGTACAAGTATTATTTTAATTTAGTTACCAAAAAATATACATATATATATTTTTCATGTACCATACTTGTTTTGTATTTTTCTAACTATGATCTATCCAATAAATAATGGTTACCTGATGAGGTGATTTTTTCTTTTAAAAAAAGGACAACTGGTGGCAATCCACGGTTATTCATCTTTTTTGGGCCCTGAGAGGTTAGGAAGAATTTCACCATGCTAATGGTCACAGCCAAACAGACTCACTATCTCAGAGCACCGAACCTGCAACCTCCCACAATTTTTTTCGTTTATAGCCGCAAACCGTTCCCATATCATTGAGCCAATTTGTAGGATGGGCCACGAATCGAATCGAGATCAAGAGATTAGACCTGATTTAGGCTTTTCTGTTGGGCAGTCCGAGCCGGCCCATTTATTAATGGCGAGGCATAGACTGGGCTCGAGGCCTATGAAGTGGTGCTTAAGTGGATCCAATAATCCAGGTCGTCAGACCCAAGAATGCGAGAATGTTTAAAGGTTTTACGTTATCCAAAGCATTAATAAAATACAATAAATAAATAAATACAAACGAACCAAGTGAAAATCTCACAACAAACTTAAAAAAAAAAAGGAAAAATGGAAAATCGTTGCTCCCCTGCCCTTTCTTCTTCTTTCTGACTTGGGTTTCCAGAGCCCCTCCAAACTCTGCAAAACCGATAAATCCCTACCCGTTTGCCATTGCAATCTCTCCCTCTCTCTCTCTCTCTCCCGGATTGAAACTGGGCCGCACGATTTGCGGACCTCTCATCACAGCCATTGAAGCCGGCGACTTCTGCGACGATGACCTCCATCACCTCCGTCGAGTTGAATTTCCTAGTCTTTCGTTACCTTCAGGAATCAGGTATGCTTCACTTTGCAAACCCTCAATCGACTTTTCGAATTTATTTCCCTAATTTTCTGTTCCCGTTTTTAATTGTATTGTCATTCTAGGGTTTCTGGGAATTTGGGTGTGCTGTACAGATTATAAGGGTGTATTTATCAATTTCTGTTACATGTTTGCTATTATAACTTAATTAGGGTTGAGAACTATAATTTTGGGAATAAGTTTGCTAATTGGCTTCCTGTTTTCCGGCGTCGAGAGGGCATGGGATTATGGATCAGAAAACAGTAGTCGGTATAATTTTATTTTGTAATTCTCCTTTTGAATGCTCGAGTTTCAGTAATTTTTTTTCTTATAATCAAATTATTTTAGTTTGGCTAGCCGTAAATTTAATGAAATTTTAATGTTTAACTGAATGTGATTTGTACCTGCATGATATGGTGATATGAGATTTTATATTGATTTGGATTTGATGCACAATCAATACACAAAGCGATTAGGGGTTTTGTATACGTAGTAGATTATTTAGCATCATATAAAAGCAGTCGAATCGAAGTTGTGGAGTGATCTTATGGGGTTCTGTACACAAACCAGTTGCATTCATACACACTCTACGGTCATCAAAGTGAAAAACGTGAAGGAGCTTCCAACTCAATCGAAGATTGAATTGGAAAACCCATTTCATTTTCTCTAAGTTTTTTGTTGTAATACTTCTGCAGGCTTCACACACTCAGCTTTTGCTTTAGGATATGAGGCCGGTATCAACAAATGCACTATAGATGGAAATTTGGTTCCACCTGGTGCCCTCATTACATTTATACAAAAAGGACTTCAGTACTTGGAGATGGAAGCTAACTTGAGTAATGTTAGTATTCTTGTTCTTGTTTTTTGGATTATCTAATAACTGGTAATTTTTGTTTTGGAACTTGCACAGGATTGCACATCTTAGAATATATGTTAACCAGCTTTTGTTTTAAGCTTGCCAGAGTGATGCAGATTTGGATGAAGATTTCTCATTTTTACAACCTTTAGATCTTATCACGAAGGATGTAAATCAACTAAGGCAAATGATTACAGAGAAAAGGAAGAATTCACAGATGGACAAAGACAAAGATAAAGAGCACGAGTCTTATCAAAAGAAAGATAAAGATAAGGAGCTTGAAAAAGAACATGACGGAGAACGTGCACGAGTAAGAGAGAAAGAAAGAAAAGAAAGGGAGAAGGATTTCGAAAAGGATAGAGAGAGGATAGAAAAGAATAAGGAGCGAGAAAAGCAGCGTGAGGACCGCAATGACAGAGATGTAGTTAGAGATCAAGAAGATAAAGTTATTATCAGACATGAAGAAAATGGAGCTTCTGGAGGTAGATTCAAGTTTTACTGCAAATGATTTTCTCTTTTGTGGTTTTTTTTTTTCTTTTATTAGCCTGAATAAAGTTACTAAGGCCACAAAATGGCCACAATTTTTAAGCAGCCACAAATCCATTCAATGATTATGTTCTTTTATTTTGTGATTGGTAAGAAATAAGAAGATAGAGACACTTGTTTCTGGAGC